ATTCCAACACCGTCAACCCATTCCAACCTGTCTCAACCCATTCCAACCTGTCTCCCATTCCAACCTGTCTCAACCCATTCCAACAACAACCATTCCAACCTGTCTCAACCCATTCCAACCTGTCTCAACCCATTCCAACACCGTCACAACCCATTCCAACCTGTCTCAACCCATTCCAACCTATCTCAACCCATTCCAACCCCATCTCAACCCATTCCAACCTGTCTCAAACCCATTCCAATCAACCCATTCCAACTGTCTCAACTCATTCCAACCTGTCTCAACCTTCCAACCCCATCCCCAACCCGTCTCAACCATTCCAACCTGTCTCAACCCATTCCAACCCCTCAACCCTCAACCCCAACCCATTCCAACCTGTCTCAACCCATTCCAAACCTATCTCAACCCATTCCAACCCCCAACCTGTCTCAACCCATTCCAACCTATCTCAACCCATTCCAACCCCATCTCAACCCATTCCAACCTGTCTCAACCCATTCCAACCTGTCTCAACCCATTCCAACACCGTCACAACCCATTCCAACCTGTCTCAACCCATTCCAACCCCATCTCAACCCATTCCAACCCCATCTCAACCCATTCCAACCTGTCTCAACCCATTCCAACCTGTCTCAACCCATTCCAACCTGTCTCAACCCATTCCAACCCCATCTCAACCATTCCAACCTGTCTCAACCCATTCCAACCCATAACCCAAACCCGTCTCAACCCATTTCCAAACCTGAACCCATTCCAACACCGTCTCAACCCATTCCAACCCCGTCTCAACCCATTCCAACCCATAAAAATCCTATTTCTCCAACAGTTACTCATCAACCAGACGGGATACACTCAGTACGCACACTATTACACCGACATCCCTGAACTGACTGGATTCACCATGCATTACTGGTTCAAATTGAATAAGAATTTCCGAAGTGCGACCACGTTCAACTATGCACGTGAGTATAAAAATCTTGAATGGGAGTTTAAGGGTAAGATTTTCATAATAATGATGATAATAATATGATGATGATAACGATAAGGATAATAATAATAATAATAATAATAATAATATGATGATGATGATGATGATGATAATGATAATGATGATAGTAACAGTAATAATAAAAATAACAACAACAATAATAATAGCAATAATAACAATAGCAATAACAACAACAATAACAATAACAACAATAGCAACAATAAGAACAATAACAAGAACAGGAACAAGAACAAGAATAACAAAAACAACAAATTATTATTATTATTATTACTATTAACAATAACAACAACAACATTCTCTGACCGTATTTCCCTCCCCCCGCCCAGTTGACGCCGAAGTGAACACAGACAACGTGACCCTCCAGCTCCACCAAGGGAAGCAGCTCCACTCTCCCTCCCACTGGACGCTCCACATCAACGACGTCCTGGTGGTTCGTTTGGAGTCCCCCCCTGTCCTGGCCGGGAGGTGGCACCACATGCTCCACTCCTGGGATTCTACTCAGGGCGCGTGGAGTGTGTTCATGGACGGCGGGTTGCTTGGGTATGGGTACAGCGAAGAGGTATGTGTTGGGTGTGATGGTTTTGGGAGCTTTTTTTATTGTTTTGGGGGGGATTTTGTTGCTTTTTTTAATGTGTGGGTTTTGTTAGTTGTGTGTGTGGGGGGGGGGGTTGTATGTGTGGGTTTTGTGTGTGGGGGGGATTGTGGTGGTGGTGTGGTGGGGGGTTGTGTGTGTGTGCGCAAGTGATTTTGATAAGATTTAACGTCCCTGCCAACTGCGAAAACTTTTTAAAAAAGCGAGATAAGAATGATAAAAATCAGCCCACCAATGCACGTCTCATCCTAAGACTTCGCCTCCTTCCCTTACATCAGGGTCGCGGTCTGGTGATCCCTGCAGGAGGCATCGCGGTCTCGGGCCAGCACCAGAACACGGCCCAGTTCAACGGCATGGACCAAGGCGAGGGCATCGAAGGCTGGTTCACCCTGTTCAACATGTTCTCGCGGCCCCTCCTCTACCCCAATTCCAGGGGCACCCTCGCCGCCGTCGCCAGGATCGCCAGGCAGTGCTCACCCGACCAGCCTGAGGGGGACGTCATCAGCTGGAGGAGCACCCCGCGGAAGGGTTATGGGGGAATCATGGAGACCCCAGCCATTCCCGTCTGTGGGAAATTCTAATGGGAGGGCTACGTCTGAGGAGGATGTGCTCAGGTGCCTTTGTACATTATTAAAGAATAAAGAAAGATTAAAAAAAAAAGGTTGTATTACTTTTGTGAAATTGTGAACTTTGTCCTTGAAAACAGCTGTGGAATAAGACGTTTGTCCATAGAGGACTTCTGTCCTTTTATGTAGGATCTCGAGTATATTAATGGGCACACGCACACACGCACACGCACGCACACGCACGCACGCACGCACGCACGCACTCACACACACACACACATAAATAAATGAGTAAATACATAAATAAATATATGTATATATATATGTATATATATATATATATATATAATATATATATATATATATATATATATATATATATATATATATATATATAATGTATATATGCAAATATGCACACACACACACACACACACATATATATATATATATATATATATATATATATATATATATATAATATTATATATATATATATATATATATATATATATATGTGTGTGTGTGTGTGTGTGTGTGTGTGTGTTATATATATATATATATATATATATATATATATATATATATATATATATATATATATATATATATATATATATATATATATATATATATATGTATATATATATATATATATATATATATATATATATATATATATATATATATATATATATATATATATATATATATATATATATATATATATATATATATATATATATATATATATATATATATATATATATATATATATATATATATATATATATATATATATGCATGTATGTATGTATGTATACATAGCAAGTGTTGCATTTGCTAGCAAGTAATCCTGGCTGGATTTCCCTCAGTTACCCTTCTCCATCTGAAGTACGAGGGGAGACAGCACAGCCATCCCTTCTCCCACTAAATGGAGGCCTCCACGCTAGGGAGAGACAATCAAATGGTCCCAGGTGCACTTCATATAGATGCGCTTCTATAAGTCTCTTTCCCAAGACAAGTCCTGCGTATTACAAAGGTTGCTATAAAGGAGACCAGACTTTTGTCGTCACCCTAGCGTTCACTTCTTCCTCAGAGGAAATATGCCTCAACCTTCCCGCTCCCACAGAAAAAGCTACATCAAATATCTCAAATATAAATGAGTCCCACTGTTTCTGGTCATTCCTAGAGATCAGAAAACCAGGCAAGGGTATAACATCAGAAGACTTCTGTAGAGGTGGAGCAGCCTCTTCCTCAGCACAAGAGGGACTTCACACTTCTTCTGATCACGGTCTTTTACATCTGGAGCAATAGTCCAGAGAAGTCCAGTGAGATGGGAGGGAATGCAGTTGCCACATCAGTTCTTAGGCTTTTCATGCCTCAGCCCTTATTTAAGGAGAATAAGCCTTACAGAGCCAGTTCCTTCCCATTCCAACTTATAATTCACCAATACTTAGATTACAGTTGAGATGACATGACCTTCAGATTACAACAGTATCAGTCTCATTATTCAGATTGTTTTTTTCACTTTTTGATTCAGATAATCATTTACTCATATTTGGATTAGAGTAAATGACACGACATGACCTACAGTTTACAATAGTGTCAGTCTCTGTACTTTCAAACAGTTAACGGTAAGTAAAACACCAAATGAGTAAATTAGAAATATATAATCTCATATGCAGCTAAGATTATTGATAAATACATTTCAGGTATTTCAATGTCTTCACTAATTATATCTAAAATCATATAATCTTCTACCTCAAAGAGCAATGCATATGATTTAATTCCTCCTCTTTAACTTAATTTCTTAAATGCAAAGGAATAAAATACAACTTAAAACTGTAATGCAACATACAACAAATGTAGATATAATCAATATGATTTCTATATTTCATCTTTTGCACAATCCTTCCTTCGACATTCTGATGTTGGATAATAACTCAATTTCCTTTATTACTTCTCACAACAATGACTGCACATTCTTGGTGAAAAAATTCTGATGGTGTGTAAGAAATTATTTACTTCCTTTTTGTATTATATCTTTCTGCTAAACTGCATCAAAACATCATTCTTAATACATTCTATGCTACAATCTGGAGTAAGGCCCTTTTTAAATACCTTAATCACAAAAAAGTTTTACATATACATATCATATATATATTTATATATATATATATATATATATATATATATATATATATATATATATATATATATATATATATATATACATATATGTATATATATTAATATTATTATTATTAATCTAATTCTAAGACATATATCCAACACGATTGTGTAAATTAACATCGACATTATAATAATATTCAGTAACACTAACTACAACAACCTTGAATAACAACAGAGGACAAAAATCAAAGGAAAGTTGATTCTTCACAACCACCTCCCTCTCTGTTCTCCCTTCCTTTTCCTTTTCCGATCCTCCTCAATTCATGGAACAAGATGCGCTGCCCTCATCACTTTCCGCTACAGCTGGAACCTCATCTTTGTCAATCATCTGGAAGTCTTCAGGACAGGTCTCCCCATCGCGCTTGGAGAGCCGGAACTGCTCTGGTCGAACGCCGCACAGCTGTTGGACCTTTTCCACTGTCAGCGGTGTGTCTGAGGTCGGGAGGGAGAAAGGCTTTGAGAGAAGGCACTGGATATGACAGTGATGAATGTATTTTTTCTACTGAATTGTCAGGAAACATTTACTTGGCAGTTACTACTACCTGTTTACCCTGTCAGACTTAAAGTATGCCTTTTATACATCACAATCTTCATTCATATTAAAAAAGCAAGAAATCATTCCTCCAATCACAGTATATCATTCATCACAGTATACAGATTAGTCCCTAACTAACAAAAAATGAGTAAAAACTTACGCATTTCAAACCAGTCTTCGTTTCCATTCTCTGCTCTGAAAGCTGCAATGGCATGGCGGAGGGCAGTGACTACCACATATGAGAAGCAGAGAGCTGGCTCACCGGTGGCTGCAAGATCAAGACAATGTGAAGGTGGAGAATGCATAAATTGACAGTAGGTAAGGGAGGTGAGAAAGGACAGTGAAGTAAATGAAGCAAAGATAATGGCAAGTGAGTGTGGAAGACAAAAGTGAGGAAGCAAATAAAGATAAAGAAAGCTAGGAAGAGAAAGCAGGAAAAAGACAAAGAAGAGAGAAAACAATACAAAGAATAGAGAAAACAATAGCAAAGAGAAAAAATTTGAGGAGTTAATCTAGTATGGAATAAGAGCATTTATCCAAATGAGGTTGCAATCAATTCAATGACATTCATTACTATATAACTTCTAAACTTGGTATCCCAAAATTCTTCTCAGGAAAGAAGTAAAAGTTCCACATCCTCATACCTTTGGAGTTCAAGACGCCATAAGGGTTCGACGCATTAGGCAGGAGAGTCACCCTCATGTCAACAGGAATATCCAGCGCTGTTGGTGGTTTGTATTCCTGTAAATAACACAATAAAAAATCCATATATCTTTAATGATGAAGATCATAGACTATTATTTAAATGAACAACCTGCTTCATCCTTGAAATCTAAAAAAACACAGACAATAAAAAAAAGGCTCTGACATACCCACACCTGTGTCTATCAGCAAAACAAAAATATTGTGAAAAAAAGGAACTCAAATACATTTAGCATTTCAACAATCATTATGACTACTTGTCATGTTTCATCCATATTCCCAAAGAAAGGGGTAAGGAAACTTGAAACAGACATTAGCAGTTCTCTTTTTATTGTAATATTTCTTTTAACCCACCAGTACCCTTAAAAAAAGTTTGAAAAAGAACAAAAATCAATGTATCCCTTTTCTTTGTAATTGCATTCCATTCATTTTTCCAACCATACCTCACTTTATTACCTACCGCTGAAAATGGATTATACAGAAAATAAGCTATTAGGATAATGAATTTTTTTATTTATTTTTTCCTTATGCCATCATTTCCATATCCTTTTTCTTCTTCTTCCACTCTGCAGTACCATTGCCCTGATAAGAATGTCTTAGTCCTATTACCACAATGAACTTCACGAACTGGAAGTGAGTTAACTTATAAAGAAAGGTAAGAAAAAAGATATAATAGTTAAAAAAATTAAAAGGACACCAAACTAGCACTCCCTCCCTTGCTGTGGCCATGTTCTGCTCCTTTTCTGAACATATCAAGCTATAACGAAGCACAGAATCGCATGGAGAAAGAACAGACACATACCCACGTTCCATTAGAGAGCTTTACTCCCGTTTCCACGTCGAACTTCACCAGCTCAGACGTGTAGAGACCAACACCCATGATAAAGGCTCCCTCCACTTGTCCGATGTCAACGAAAGGGTTCATGCTTTTCCCACAGTCCTCAACGATATCTGCACGACGGAGCTGTTCGAGAACCATTTGCATTAGGATGGAGAACTGCCATAACACATATAATTCATATATACAAAAGGTATGAAATCTTAAAAATACATTGATATAATAGAAATTTTAGTTTAAATATCTATAAGTGCTTCAAAATAGAAAAAACAAAAACTATATTCATATTTTGATATTACAATTAATCAAAAATCAAATGCAAATACAGCTAATTACATGAAACACCTGCTGTAATAAAAGAAATTTCATATTACATACTAAACTTTCAACTAAAACATAACCAAATATACAAAAAGCAAAACCATAAACTAACCAAATACTGTCCAGTGAGGACGTCAATTTCGACTTCGAGGCAACAGGCAGCCCATATGTCATAGCGCTGAGGATGTTCCTTTCCGGCAGTCCTTTTTTTTTTTTTCAAAAACACAAAAGGTTAGTTAAATCTATGCCACGTATTAATCATGAGAGTTATTAAAAAATTAGTTTTCTGAAATTTGTTTACAGATTTAGCTTGATAACTTCACTTCATGTAAAATGCTTTATTGTTCCTTTTACTATTCCTCTATACCTAATAATATCAATTCTAACAATCTTTCCATTCAGTGTTCTAAAGAGACTGATGAACCAGATTATAGTAATATCTTATACTTCCAACTTTGCTGTGACTTCAATGAGAATTTAATCCATATAAGTCATTACTACAAAGAAATATTCAATGACTTTTATTGAATCTTACCAGCTTCTTACATACTTCCTAACACAAATTAGAAGCATAAATAAAAGCAAAAGAAAACTCCATATGATATAAGAATCGCTGCATAAATGTGACTGAAACAAAATTACCCATTGCCACAAACTAACTGACAAGCAAATCAAATATAATATAGCCTGTAACTAAGAATTCAATACTGGATTGTAACAACACTCTAGTGCTGATCAAATACAAGAAAAACCTACTTTCTGCATAATCAATAAACTTGAAAAAGCTATCATCCTCAAATTAACTTATCTTGTGTATAGTGCATCATTCTGCTATAACTCAAATGGAATCATAACATGATACACAATTCAGACCCACAAAATAAAACAGAAACTTGTACCCTATAACATAACACAATACCATCATACCAATAGCGTTCACATAAGTCCACATCCCTAAGGTGACATATCTTGATGAGCTGCTCCCATGACATCTCTTTCTCTGAGTCTTTCTTCAACTCCTCGCCTTTGATTGCGTCTATCCTCTCACGGAGAGCTTCACAGGCTACCTTTGTGCCCTGAGAAAAAAAATGAGATATAATCTCACTCATTTTTTATATAGAAGCATGAAATTATTTTGGTTCACTTTCAAGAGCAAGGAAGTTGAAAATAAAGAAATAGCAAAAAATATGATGAAATATATCATGTACGTATACTTCTTTTTATCTGACATTCCTGAACTCAACTCAAAAAAGAGAGAAGGATAGAAAACTCAGGAAAAAAAGAGAGGATAGATAACTCCGTAACTCACATGGCAGCAAATGTCTGTTCCAAATGATCCTCCTGTTACAGTAGAATTCGCACCAACAGTTGTATCGGAAGCCTTGATGATTACCTTTTCAATAGGAATGCCCAAAGCGTGTGCCGCTACTTGAGCCACCTGACAAATAAATAATTAAGAATAAGCAGTATGTATAATCAATCAAAAATCACTGATATTCATTCAGATATGAAAATTTTCTTTTAGTTCTCTTGTATACCTTTCTTTGTCTTATACTTCATAATTATACATAATACACTATGTTCATCCACTAATGATGAAATGAAGAACTAAATATCTTACTGATATTATAAGAATCTTCTCTTTGTGAACAATAGAAGTGATTCATAGATCTTAAAATTTAACAAATCCCACAAAACACACCTTGGTATTGATACCTTGTCCCATCTCAATACCACCATGAGTCACTGCTACTGTACCATCATGCTCATAGATGGAGACCTGGATTCCATACCGAAACATGGAAGGGTAGTTGTAACCATACCAAAGGGGCACAACGGACAGGCCTCTCTTCTTCCAGCGATTTGCCTGTGGAGTGAATGTTTCAGCTGAAGGCAGTAGTATTCCAGCAATATATTGATGCTCTACAAGATAATTTCACTGGACCAAATGGCTGTCTTCATACAAAAGGGTGGATGACATGGTAACATGTAATTGTACTTATTGTCTTTCCTGACATTCTTCTGATTTATCACTAATTCCACAATCATTTGGAAAAAAAAGCAAAAGAAAAAGCCAATCTTAACATTTAGAAAAAAATAAAACTAATTTTGACAACAATTAACATAAAATGGAAACTCAAATCACCTTATTGAAGGCTTCCACCTCTTCCTTCCTCTGTTCATACATGGCCTTCTGCTTGAGTAATGGAATTATGTCATCCTTGATCACATTCTTCTCAAGAGGGGGTGCCATGAGGCGTGGCACTTCAGGCTCGACCATATTCAGAAGACGCACTTCTAGAGGGTCCTTTTTAAGAAAGTTGGCAATGTGCTCTATTATGTTCTCAATGGTTGCCAGGGCCTCAACAGTACCTGCAGGTAATGGGGTTGGTGGGTTATTTAAAGGGCTTGAGATGATTAGATTCTTAGTCTGGAGACAGGAATAATTGTGTATATATGAAATAGATTTTAGTCTAAAGTATACTGGGAATTAAAAATCTAACAAAGATATTAGAACTAATCAATAAATTATTTCCTAGGAGCTCTGAATATGAAAATACTAAACTTCATCACATATCCAGTATCTACTACTCTATCTCTGCCCACACAGAATTAATAGCTTACAATCAGTTACACCTATCACTATTTCATTCACAGAACCTTGGAATTCATGAAATTTCAAAACAACATCTGACATGTATAATTCATTTACGTTTAAAACTCCTAACAAAAATAATTTGTATACAGTTCCAAACAGACTCCACAAAACATCAAAACAGCAAAAGCAACTCAGTGAAACCACAACCAAGCTCCTACTTACCTGGGGTTCGACACCAGGTGTTGGCGGCTGTATCAGTACGAACAATAACTGGCCTGAAGAGCAGACTGGGGATATGGTAGCCGTTCTGGACAGGACCTCCAAGGAATCCTACCGAGGACTCATTGGGCACATGGCCTGCATCTGAGTACATTTCCACCTTGAGAGCCTGGAACTTGCCTTCGTCATCAAAACCAACCTGTGACCAAAGTAACATTAATTAAATCACATTAGTGATAAAAATGGAAAATTACCTTAATTGAAGACTGAACAAAACACACTTCCTACCATATACACAATGATCCTCCAGATGATACAGTTAAAAGACTAATCTTTCAATGAGTGGAGAACCAGAGGACCCACCCTATATCCTTCACAAAATCTTACCTCGTACTTTGAGAGATAGGGTTCTCGCCATCCCACAAGACTCATGTGTGTATTGAGGTCAACAACAATCCTCACAGGACATCTTAGCTTCCGTGATGCTACAGCTGCCGCTGAAGACACGACATGCTGTCGGGTAATTTTGCCACCATATCCACCACCAATGCGTCTTACTGATACATTTATGCTGTTGAAATAAAATAAAATAATGAACATAATTTGCAAACACACAAGAAGTATCTACAGATAAGCACATGGTGTATATCTGACCTTATTAGTACGGTTTATGTATGTAAGTAAACACCCACACAACCATCCACAAACACACACACACATGAATTACAAAGATTACCTATTACCATACATACATGTTACAAAAATTTACATAAAAAATGCAAATAATACACACTATCTCTTTCCAAGGAAATATGGATACAAAGACCATACCTATGTGCAGGGATATCCAACACCTCTGCCACTGTTGACTGGGTCTGTGTTGGCCACTGTGTTGTGCTAAACACGTCATACCCATCTTCTATTGGGACGACGCGGGCAGCAATGGCCTCCATAGTCAGGTGGAACTGACTTCCCTGATGCAGCTCCCCTTTCAACGTGTTCTTAGCTTTCTTAAAGCCCTCTGGTGGGAATTCAGAGAGGTACCTGTTGTTATTTATGGCTACACTATTCTCACTTTTTGATTTTTGGAAGATGGGGTAATTTCCCAAACATGTAAGACAAGATATGATTTTACAGAGCATGGAAATTAGATATACTTTGTTTGCTAAAATACCTCTATAAGTATGGATAATTTTTGGGGTAACTGTTAACAACCTACATAATTTCAGTATACACTCTTTTACAATTGGCTATGAATATTAAATATAATGTCAGTGGTTGAAAGAATAAAAGGCAAAGAGTGCAAGAAAAACAGAAAAGAAAAGAAAGAAAAAGTAATTATAAGAAAAAAGGAATATTTCTCAAAAACCAACAATTGACCACTGTATATCTCACCCTCAATATCCCCCAATGTTTGTGCTTCACGCTTCCCTGTCATGAAATTGACTGCCAATTCCTCTCGCCCTTGCTTCACGGCTTCGTCAATCGTGAGTGTGGGCTTTTCAATTTCTTCATATTCAACTGTGACGAGTTTGGCCGCTCTGACAGCAGTTTCACGATCCTTGGCTACAACAAGACCTATTGCCTGGCCTGCATAATTCACTTGCTCCTCCACAAAAACCTGTAATAGTGCAATTGAAAATGATGTTTCTTTTTCTACCAAATTCTAACTCTTCTAGATGTCAATAGCTACTTAGGTTTGGTCTGCTCAATATATATATATACCTTTCTTATATCAAGGTAACATTTGCAAAGAATCACAAATTTCTACTGGAAGTTGAAATCCTGCTGTTCACAAAAAAATATTTCATAACATCTGTAGCCATTAAGAGCAACAGTTTGATCTGTCTTTCATTTGCTAAAATTTATCTCATAATTCGCGTACAGGGTCGGTTCCTCCTCCTGAGTAGAATGTGTTTCTTCCAGGAATATCCCTCGCAGTGATGTAAGCAACAACACCGGGCACTGCCTGAAATTGGGAAAAAACCTTTGCAGTAAATACCTCAGTCCTTTAAAAGCTTTTCTATTTCTTCAACCCTATTGATAATAAAGTCCTCTTATTGGCATATGAGAATAATGAGAATATTAGATATCTGAATAAAAGAAAGAAAGCAGGAAGCCAATTGCAATTTGTTGAGAATCTGGTTACTAAATATTAAGATAAAAATAAAATAAATGCAATGAAACAACAATAGTAATAATAGTAATGATAATAATAAACATATATCACAGTAATCCTATGAGAATCAAATGAAAGTAGGAGGTAGTCATGAAACATTTCCGATGCTCTAATTAGTTCCAATGACTTCCTCTGAAGACAATGATATTTCTTCTATTAAGTTAGAATCATTTCAAAAGAGCAGAGAATGACTAAACTTACCAATGCCGGAGATGCATCAGTCGATTTCAACTTGGCTTTTGCATATTTTGTCTGCACAAAGGCACCATGCAGTTCCCCGGGGAGTGTAGGAATGTCGTCGAGGTACACAGCCTCTCCTAAATGCAAAAGGAGAAAGTATTGAATGATATGTATTTCTTTACTGTTTGATTCCTTGCTCTATTTTGTCTATAGCTATATTAATTTACTATCAAATATAGTATTAGCATATGAAAGAAATACTGATAATACTATATCAATTAATCTTTCAGGTTAAAAGTGTGGTGATAACATGAAGAGAAGAGGAATATTGCAAAAAAGAGGAAAGAAAAATAGAAATATATTTTTAAAAACTGAAGGAATATGAAAAAAAGAAAAAACTCTTAGTCTGCATCACAACACAATACACTGCAACAAACCGCCCTAAAATTACCAACCCACCAATGTGTGTGTGCAAAATCATGTCAACTCCTTATCTGACCAGATTCCATAACCAACCATCCATTCATGTCAAATTCTTGCTGGCCATGATCTCCAGCACAGTCCCAGCACTGGTAATCTCACTGCTTACGCCGAGGATTGAGACGATTTGGAATTTTTTTCATAATAATGGAAATTTGTCGCCGAGGATTGAGACGATTGTCTTGGAGGAATTTTTTCATGTCATTAATTGGAATGTGGAAAGAAAATAGAGGGAGGCTATTTTGAATAGTTTTATGATTTACTTGATATATGGCACTGAACACAACTATGCCAAGAACTGAAACAGCCTAATTCGCATTTACAATAAAGTGGGTTAGTTTCTAAACAAATTTTGGAAGGGTACTGAAGAGAATTCAGATAAAAAAGAATAAGAGCCAGTAAGAAGAGAAAATTTCAACATACCTTATACAAAAGGCTCTGAGCCAACGACCTCCTGTATTGGGGTGATGCGTCCTGTGGCTTGGCATCAGGCTTCACCTCCTTACCTAGGATTTTCGCAGCTTTTATAATGGCTGGGACTTCCATTAAACTGCGACCCATCAAGAATGATTCAGTCTGCTTTGCATGAATCTGAAATTGTTATTTGTAGAATTATGGTTGGGAATATTCATAATCCTTTTTAATAAATGGACCTCGTTCAGAATAGTCTCAAATAACATTATGTGATGTAATTCCTGAATGATGCTTGAAGTCAATAAATTTTATTTCAAAAGCTCTGAGAGCAGTCAAAAAAAGAAAAGAAGAAGAAGAAGAAAAGAAAAGAAAAGAAAAAAAAATCTGGTTATATAAAAATTAAAAACTCACAAAATTGGGATGTATTCCTCCATATAATATTGTGGGAGTCTCAGTAACCTTAAACCCATCATCTGGATCTACTTTTATTTTGAAACACGCATTAACATATGCATGTGCATTCACAGTTCTTGGAGTGATCTTATATGTACGGAACTGAAATAAAAAACAAACAAACTTGTAATTATGTGCATACTAAATTTTTCATGTCTTTTCACATGCATACATAATTGGTTTTACAAATACTGTTATATCAAATTAGATTACAGTCAATAATCTCTTTTATTTTTATTCAAATACTGTTATATGAAATTAGGTTACTGTCAAAGTTCTCTTTTATTTATTTTCTTTTGTCTGGCCTCTTAGGGATGTATATAATATTGCTAAATCTAACATCTGAACCAACATGTATCAAAGGTTTGTGCTACAAACAAAGAAGAAACAAACTTAACTTATAAGATCACCACATACAATACAAGTCATTAGTATATATAATATATGAAGTTTACCTATACATGCTATTCACATACACTTACAAAAAATTATAGTTAAAATATTGATAAATGCAACAACCTTATGTAAATCACATCATAGTAAGTTCAACCCTTTCCATCACTTAAAACTTTCATCATCTTTCAGTTACTTTTTTCCTTAATTCTTTAATACCCTTCATGAAGAGTGACTTCCTCAATCTTAATTACCTCAGTGCCCTGAGCCATAGGTGGTAAAATCACGGAGGTGATGAGACGCTTCGACATATCTGTCTGCAGGAAAGTCTCGAGATCCACCTGTGTTGTGTCATTTGTGTCAGCATCAATCAGCGTCAACTGGGCATCAGCAGCTAGCAGTGTTAGGAAGATATCTGATGGAAATTCAGGGTGCTTGTGCTTCAGCATAAGGTTGCCTGCCCAGCTTCCTGTCTGTGAAAAGCAATTAAAACCTCAGTTGTCAGGTGATTCATCAGCTCATGTCTAATATATATATGCTCTGCAGTTTCTCTGATGTAAGTGTTTCTGACAAAGATACATTCGAAATCAGTCAAATACATTTCTTGGATTGTGAAGATATTGATTCTCATTCATACCTCTTATACAGTTAAAAAAGAATCAGTTACCTGTAGGCCTTTTATGCAAAAAATGAACAATAAAAATCATTGAAATTTTAAATGTAGAAATTGAGATACATCTTTAATTAATGAATAATTTGTTACACAAATAATATCAACCAATGGATATTGATGAAACAAGCCTTTCAAACAGCTACAACATATTCAAATATCTATCATCAAGCAATCAAACTGAAATTGAAGAAAAAGAAATTGGAAAAGTAAACAGAAAAATTATGCAAAATATAACCAAACACAGAAACTAATAAACCAACTGCTGAATGAATAAATAAACAAATAAAAAAATAACTATACGAAAGAGGGCTTACATTCCGCACTGATACATTTGCCACAAGCTTCCAGTGTCGCACGATGGTATCCAAGTACCTGTAGTTAGGATACGTGTTGGCAACATGTTGGAACACCTCAATTGCGCGACTGAGGGTAACGTTAGCTCCAAGGACAAGTGGCTCCCCAATTGTGATATTATAGAGAGCCTTTACTCCATTTGTGCTGATGTACGTTGTATAGGGACCATCCTCTTTGTAGACACCTGTGATAGTTAATAAATATATATGTAATTATTGTGTCTTGTTATACCAAGGAGGTTTTGAAATGTTCTGGAACATTTTTCTTAATTAATTTCATTATGTAATTATTCCTGTCATTCAACACAGGAGAAGCAATATATCAATTTCTGAAAGCTTAATAGTATGTTAATTTCACAGATTACTGAAACAACTAAAACAAAAGACACATGAATTTACTTTTAATTCAACTAAAGCTCTTAAAGATTTTTCATTTGAGCTTTACACTACTCTACAACAATAATGATAAAGAATTAAAAAATGTCAAAAAGATGAATATCAACAATGGCAATCATTCTAAAAAATGTAATGAGTAATAAATGTAAAAATAAAATATATAAATAGTACTAGTGCAATATATACCTTGTCCAGTGTTCCCTACGACAATGCAATACTTTTCGTCGCTTCCGATTTTCTTCAAGGCATTCTTTACTCCCTGAAAATGATAGGGAAAGAAAAAATAAGGGAAACGTCAGTGATACTCAAGGCATTATTTAATACTTTTACATATCAATTGAAACTCATAATCATATAAGTCAAATGCACATTTTTCCTCTGTCGATTTCTTCCTAAAAATTACCATATGAGAAAAGAAGAGAAGAAAAAAAATTGTGTTCAAACTATGTAACAAATAACAAATACTCTTTATAAAGAAATAATAAGTACATAAAATGAGTAAAAATACAACTTATACATTTACCTAGACATACTTAATGTATAATTGATAATGTCAAGTACCAATGCATCACATACCACAAGGGTGAGAGGTCGGTACCACTGGATTCCACCATCTGTAAATTCAAGCTCCTCTTCTATGGGGTCGGCATCATTGTGGTCCTTATGTTTATTTTTACAACTTGATTCATTTTCCTCTTTGCTAGATTCGCACTTGCCCTTACAGATATTGCCAGTCTTGGGACACTTTGCTTTATTTGCTTCCTGTAGAAATAAAATACTTGTTAACTTGTTTTTCACTCGTGTTTCCCATTCCAAACATGCAATTGAAAAGCATGAAAGCTTACTTTTTAATATTTATCTCCTTTCACTATCCTTTGCACATCAAAGTTTTTGTAAAATTTATTTGTCGTTTCCCACTTGCTGACTCCTAAAAGTTTGTGGTACATGCAATCTTGCACTGATCCAATTTGCTATCTAATAACTATCTTATTTCTTTGGCTCATCTCCTGAATTTTACTGCATTTGAAAAATATCAGATTTAAAACTATACTGTTCATTAATAAAGTCTTAACTTTCATCTTTTCAGATCTAATAAATATGCAGGTTAGTTTTTCATTTCCAATAATCCTTTCTGAATCATGTAATGAGATATAAGAAAAACAAGAAATAAAGAGAAAGAAAGAAAAAGAATAAGAAAGAATGAATGAAAGAATACCAGAAAGAGAAAAAAAAGCACATACACACCTCAATATCAACAAGTTTGTCCTTCAAGCATTGGTCTCCGTCCTCAGCAAGGGATTTAAAGGCATCGAGAATGGGGCGATAGCCAGTGCAACGGCAGAGGTTTCCGTCCAAGGATTCCTCTACTTGAGCTGCCGTGAGCGACCCTGAAGATTTCAACTGTCTGTGAAGTGAGAGCAACTTATTAATTGAAAGTATATGATGAACTAATACTAGTGACAAGACAGATTCACTAATCATCATAAATTGGTTTATATATATATATGAATCTTACCTATGTAATTTACTACATGTCAGTGAAGAAGTAAAAAACTGATTGAAAGCTAAAATTCATCTGATGTATTGTCAACAATAACAGGGAAAAGAAACAGTTACGGAATTATGATAAACAAATGTTGATATTCAAAAGCTGATAGGTTGCTTACTACAAAAAATGAGACAGATAAACTATAATTCAGCATACATACTTCTGGAATAATGAGCTCATGACTGTAAATATGGATATGAAAGATAATATGTTAATACTGCTGTAGATTTGAAGAAACAGTGGTTCCTTGTTAAACATACTGTTATACTTGTTATATATACACTGTCAAGTCTATCATATACAGTAGGTCTGTCCCTTTACATAAATCTTATGATTCATCAAAAAAGTAAGGAATAAGTTCAGAAAAAAGATAGAAAAAACATGTAAGCAAACCAAATTTTTTATCTTCTTTTCCTTTTCAAAACTTATTGTAAATACTTACCCATACATCGTCATGATCATTCCTGGGGAACAGTAACCACACTGAGTTCCATAAAAGCCTGTTAGAGCTTTTTGGAGCGTGTGATATCCATCATAGCGGTTCCCTAGGTACTCCACTGTCTCAATGGACCAACCAGCGCAGGTATAAACCAAAAGTTGACACTGATGAAAGTGAAAGAACAATGTGGAAAGCTATCATTAATATTGTTTACTTATTTATTTATTTTTGGATCTAGCTGGAGTCATAAACCATCAACTAGTATAATAAGATATGTCAATATTGTATATAACACAGGACAGAGTATAATATGATAATGGCATGTTAAAATCATGTATAATAAAGGGCAGTGTATATTAATGGTATGTTAAAATTATGTATAGCACAGAACAGAGTATAATATGGAAGTGGTATGTTATAATTATGTATAACACAGGACAGAGTATGATATGAATATGGCACATGAAAATTATATGAAAGAGAAGCTGTTTAATACTGAAATAATCTTACTTGACAATAAACCAGTATAGCCATATACTTTAATCATACAAAACAAGCTTGAAAATGTAAAAGAATAAAAATATACATGAGTAATGAAATGAAATCAAAGTTGCAATAAAGGTCCTCAAATGTATACTAACTGCATTAACGCTGAAGGTCTTATAAGCTCCCTCATGCTCGGGATCAGGTGCAGTCGCCACAACTGTACAGACACCGCAGCCTCCTTCCCTGCAAAGGACTTTCGTTCCTGGCAGCTTTACTTGCTCTCTCAAGAAGTCTATTAGGGGCATCGTCTTAGAAACTTCTGATCCAACTGGGTAGTGGGATAAAAAGAATACAAATAAGTTCTGGTCCTTTTCCTTGATACTTTTGCAATAGTGTTTTTTTTTTTCTTTGTTACATTTTTTTCTGATATGCAAGGTTGTTTATAATCATGCCTTTTATATATATTGAACAGTACCTAAATAGATGTAATAGTGTATGTGAATATTAACTGCAACTGAGATGGATATATTTTTGCTTTATCTATTCTGCAAGTTACATATCTTTAACTTTATGGATTAACATGCTTATCAGTATAAACTTTGAAAAGGCTCTGGCTCTCCTACTATACCATTCACTGCATATATGTAACATTTCCAAAGAAAGACTTAAAAACTAATATCAGAAAAGAGACAAAAACAAAACATCTATCATAACTGTCAAAATCTCCAAAACGTAAATGTAAGGTCCTTGAATACCCACTCGTATAATATCTATTGTTGATCTTAATCTTCAGCCGTCGAGGAGGAGCTTCCTCTCTCCCACCGGCCGAAGTTTCTTGTGGTGCCATCCTGGGTACTTCACAGGCCTAGGATGATGTGTAATGAGGTTGTTCTGGGATGGAAACCGGACACCAAAGCCTGTAATATAGGGGGAATATTAGTTTGTAAATGATGATTCATGAGTCATGAATTTTGTACTTGAGTCACAGGATAATTTTTATTGACACAAACACAAACACACACACACAGAAGAGAGAGAGAGAGAGAGAGAGAGAGAGAGAGAGAGAGAGAGAGAGAGAGAGAGAGAGAGAGAGAGAGAGAGAGAGAGAGAGAGAGAGAGAGAGAGAGAGAGAGAGAGAGAGAGAGAGAGAGAGAGAGAGAGAGAGAGAGAGAACATGCATTATATATAGCAGTGGGTAACAATATGCGGTACTCCCAGACGTAATTTCAATGGCTTAATCCCAAATGCCTTTCAGACTTAAAGCAAGAACCTAAAAGGAAATAACTTGAATGCAGATTTTCATTATCGTGAGTTTTCCAACCTCTAGTATGTTGAATCTCTGTCCTGCCTTTTCCCCCTTGTAAGCAGGGCCGGAATTATATATAAGCTAAATAAGCTATACTTTCGGGCTACACATTTCGAAACTGCAAAGTTTTATTGGCCTTTTCATTATTTATTGTTTATTGCATCTAAATGAGTCATTCCCCTGCCCTATTGAATCACCGATATCACCCTTTTCATGTTTTACGAGAACCATTGTGTTCATACTTCACAGGAGTCTCCAAGCTTCGTGTTGGGGCCTCGTCGAGTATCAATATGGGTTCTAGGATACTATGTCGCTGGGACACTATGTCGCGGACCTAATGTAGCCACATCGCGCTGTGACACGGCGTCCGTTTCGCAAGCGGATAAAATGTCGCGGGGAAGCCACGTTGGCATTTATGTCAGTACATCGCTGTTCATTATTGACAGATAAGATTTAGGAAGGTGTTGAAAGTGCAGCAAAAATAATTTAGTATATAGAATACATAATAACACTGGTATGATACATGATCATATATCTTTCTTTTTCTTTAGGTATTAATGATATATTTTTTGATGAGCATACCTTTATTGTTCAGTGGGGATCACCATTACTTTGGCTATTTGATCTAGATATTGCAAATCTACAAGCGTATAAGTTTCTAATTTTGTAATTAGGGATTTAATCTTCGTATTTACGAGCTGGTACTTCTTCTGACTCGAGGGATGCTTCCTGCCAGCTGCATGGTGCTCGCGATTCAGAGCCAATTTGTGCTGCTCCTTTTGATATTTTGCAGCGAGCAGCGGCAGCTGAGGGTGGTCCGGTAACATCCTGGCAAACCCATTGTGCCATCCTTCCAATGCATTGTTTGTTCGGGGCAGATCATCCTTCACTCGTTGATACATGTTCCATGTCTGATATGGAAATTTCCCCTGGAATTTCCATGTCACCATGAATCAGCTGGCCGACATAGGTTTCCTGGAAATATTTTGCCAAGTCCAGAAGCCCATCATCCTTGGAAATTTCGTCTGCAAGGAGTATCCTCGTGTAGTGGTGGACGTCAGCCAGCGGAACAAATGCCAGAGCCAGGAACCTCCTGACCCGGATGGCGAAGGCAGCATCTTCTCTATACCGCGCTGCGAGGCCAAGATTCTGGATGCGTCTCCAGACAGACTGGCCCAGGTGGAAATAACATCCAGCAACCTCTGCACTCGGAAAATTCCTCTGGAAGGCGTTCATTGCTGCCTTCTCAAAATCTGTCATTATTGTCACTGGATTGCATGATAAGCCAGGGGGTATTAGCTGCAACACCTCGTACAACATTTTATTATATATCTCTTCATTCTTTCCAGGCAACAATGCATAGACGCAAGGATATGTTATACCACCAAAGTATGCATGAGTGTGTACTGCTGCTTGTATCCGACAGGGGCCACTTTAAACGTTCCATCACCAAACCAATGACGAGACTCGGCAAGAAATTTCAAATCAGAGTCTGCTGCGAAGATCATCATCCCATCATCTTCATAAGGAAGAAGGCCCTCCGCTTAACGTTGTCCGAAATGGCTGAAGATCAGACACACCTGCCTTTTGCCGCACTCGCCTCGCGTCCTCTTGATGGCGTCTACCGTTGGTATTAGATGAGCCCAGCCGACTTCAACTCTAGCGTAAAATGTGTTGACAATATGTGAGATGGGCTCTGCTGTTGCGGCAGCACGTTCCTTCATTGCTGCTAGTATCTCCTCCACCTCGGCCTTCCCAGGGACAGCAGGATGTCTGTGGATGGGGTTTTGCCACTTCACTATTTCCCCATTGACGGTGTGAACCCTGGCACCACAGGTTCTGTCTTCGCATCTCCACAGAACTTTGTCCTGGTGGTCCTTTTCCTTCGTAAAGAGATGCTGGCCAACTCTGAGTTTCACAGTCGCCTTGTATGACGATATAATGCGACAGGCCTCGGGGACATTGACAAAAGAAGGTGGGGGAGGGTAATCTTCATTCAATCCCTCGTACGATGAAACATCGAGCTCGGGGTAGGGCGGTAATGGAAGCTCGGTTGAATTCTCCATGCTGAATGATGTCTCCTCCTTGAAAATTCATTATTATAGCAAGATCACAAGACAGAAGGCACACGGCTGAAAGGAACGTTGAAACATAAGGTCATCTGTCCGCAATGTTGAAGCAGTAGCGGAAGTTAGAGTAATAAGGTCAACGGACACCTCGCGCAAGACAGTCACCGCGATATACAAGGTAAGGTCAGCCGACGACCAGGTTATGTGAGGACGACGCCTCGCGCGACACAGTCACCGCGACATAGTGTCCGCCAGACACGGAGTCACCCCCGTCATACAGCTTCGCGACTTTCCTTCCAGGTCATAGTGTCCGCGCGACATAGAAACCGTGCACCGGCTTTATGGGTCAAAATGCACACTACTTGACCATGTAATGATGTACTGCATTCGACCCCTAACTACCCATGGCTCCTGTGGCTATTGTACAGTCCCTGCTCTCCGACTGTGAACGTTATAGACAAATTCGTAATATACTTTTACTACGAAATGAAACACGGTCGGAATAGGCGACGGAAAATAACTGATGGAGAGAACAGACTGATTATTCGATGAAAAATTGGGTTTGTGTCTAATGAGATGTTAAAGTTTCAATCAAAATTTCGGGTTGTTTCGTTACTTCGGTATTGTAGTTGTATTTCATATAATTTCAAAAAAAAAAAAAAAAAAAAAAACACGCGGTATTGTGCTCGCTTTTTGTTCAATCTATGTTTGAACTTCATTCTTTTGTCGTTTTCAGATATAATTCTTTCCTAATTTGTTTTATACGGGATGTGATGTATATACGAGAGACAAAGCTGGAGATATTTTAACAAAATCGTTGTTGGCCTGAATAGAGTACGGTCTTTATAGAAAGAAATATTACAACACTTATTTTGCTTGGTGTGAAGCGAGGAGGGATTCCCTGTTTTATTACAAAGTATATTAATAAAAGTACCATTTATGCTTTACCATAGGCTGTTTAGTTCCTCTAACATATCTCTTCTGTCAACCATAAGTTATTTTTTTTTCTCTCTAGCAGAACATTCCCATACCCACTCAATTGACTCCCCCTTTTATCAAAATCCATCTCTATGTATTTCATTTATTTTCTGCATGTATTCCCTTCACGAGGCTGGTATTCAGGAAGAACATGGCTAAGGTACCACTTAATACCACTAATCATGAAGCTAATGTTTGTTTCTTGATATGGACCCGGTTTGGTAAAACTGTCAGGCCCGACCCAATGAATATCCATATATACGGACATGCAAATACATAGAAATAAATGAATATCTATCTATCTGTTAGATATACATTCATCTATCTATCTATCCGGTATATATGCATGTCTAGACTGATAGACATGCATACATTTCCGTGTATATGCATGTCCGTATAATGAATATTCCTTCGCACAATTTTGACTAGGCGGCTGGTGATTCCTACTCGAGTAAGACAAGAACATGTTACAGACACGTTTCCTGTCTGGGGAATATCGACTGAAAACTGACTTTCTGCTACAGATCTCCAGCTTTACTACCCAGTAAAAACGACAAGAATAAGGAATGTTTATG